AGGCGGAGGGAGGCCGCGCTGGCGGTGCGCCATGCCAGCCCCATGCACTTCGCAGCACGAAGGTACACCAGCGTGGAGCGTAAAATCAATGAAAGACAGAAGAGCACAGCACGTCTCCCGGAGGTTGCTCCTAAGGGAGTAGCTTCATTGAAAGCCCCAGCAAGCAACTCGTATTGCTGCTTAGGATTTCTTCCCTAAACGTCTACAACGCCTTGCATTTTATTTCTTGAGCTTCCCTCCTAAAAACTGTTATCTCCCTCTCCTTGGGAAAGAAAATTAAAGAAAACTTTTCTGGGTTTCTGACACAAAGTCTGATTAAAGTGCCTGTGCAGGTAGATGCCTGTGCATTACTGCTGAGGTGGGACAGCCTACAGTCAAGCTCACCCAGCACCGTCCATCACAAGATCCTGGTTTCAGGAATTTGAAAGTTGTCAGATTAACTACCCAGGCTGAAAGTTTCCATAATGGACGCCTATCTCAGGGTGATTTACAATCATAAATGCAAAAACTAGGCAAAGAAAGAACTTAGCGTCCCCTTGAGGCAAGGAAAATATTAGATCATACCTTGTTTTGCCCATCTTCTGAAATTCTTACACAGCTTCAGCATCTCACACACTGCAGAGTGCAGAGATTATAAATTTGGAGAGCAAGAAGTAGGATTGCTCAATGGCAGGGGTGTTTCTCTTCCAGTTCCTGTGTAAACCTACAAACATTTGGCCAAGCCATGTACCCTTAAAAAAGCCTGTACATATTCAGCAGCAGAGACTTACATCCAAACTCCCCAAGGTTGCATCAGGAACAGATAGGCTTCTCTTCTCTTTGCTTTCTACAAGCCAAGAATTTCTCCACCGAGCAAGCAAGCATATTCTAGTCATGGTAGGTAAGGCTGAGCTGGAATTTTTCCCATTACCCAAATTAAGAGCAAGATGCTGTTTGCCCAGTGCTCCAAAATTTCTGCTATCTGTGCCCAGACATGAAAGCAAGAGTCAGATCCAAACAATGAGTGCTGAAGGCCAGCTGGGCAGATCAGCAAAAGACAATGGCAGAAGAGGATAGGTTTGTGAAACTGTACAAATAAATAGTAACAATGAAAAAATAGCCTGTGCCAAGTGGCTAGAGACTCAGCATCTGTGACTAATTGGTATTTGTTCAGCTATGGAACACCAATCTAACACCAAATCCCGCAATCCCGTAGCAAAGCCAAGAAATTGCAAATCTTGTCTCATTTGCACATACTAAAAGCTAGCAAATAATAACAGGAAGCATATTCTTCAAGGAGAAAAAGTGTGTTGTTTTCCTTTCCTTTCCTTTGCCTCCTTGCCAGAGACAAATCTGAAAGCAGCACAGTTACTGAAATGGCATTCACTGCAGTGGACTTACTGTTTGGGTTTGGAACTCCAGAAACAATGTCTTTGCTGTCAGGAGCAAGGGCGCCGTAATTCGCGTGGTGGTGGTGATGACGGTGGTGGTGGTGGTGCCTTGCAGGCATTTTTGTGGTATATGGTGCTCCACCATTCTCCTCAATGTTGAACTGATGCAGATCACTGTTGTTCAAGGGATAGCTACAAAATAAATTCAGTTCAAATTAGAGCGGTACACAGTAGGACAAATTGGAGAGACAGAGTGCAAACTTTCTTGGGAAAAAAATGCATAGTTTTTCTGTAAATTTTTAACGAGATATATCCCAAATCTTTACAGTTTTCTGTTAACAGGAGACTCATAAGGTGAGGAAAAAGGATGCCTCTGCTTGTTTGGCACAACTTTAATATCAGAATTGTTTTTTTTTTTTACACACTACACAATCTCTGCTTAGACTCTTATGCCGAGTCAAATTCTGACTGACTTACGCGATACCATTCTCAAAAACACCAAAATTTGTCCTGCAGGAATTTGCAGCTTCACCTGGGATAGGAAAGTGGTCAGGCAGCAAACAATAACTCCTTTAAAGTGAAATTGTCAGAAGATCAGACCAAGGAACAGTCCCAGTATAACATTACATTCCTGAGAAAGTTCAGGCCTCCAAATTTACGGTGCAAAATAGCTGTATGAAAAATTTGTGACTTGGGAAAAAATGGAGAAAGATCCTGTTTGAAAGAAAAGGTTTACAGGTAACAACATACAAAATAGCACTCGGTTAAAAAGGAATCATACCTGTGCTGGTAAACTAACTGGGTTTTTTTTTTTGCATATGTTTAGTTAGGAAATCAACTGGTGTCAGTCTACAATATATGGAGAAATGGAGACACGTTGAAATTTGAATTCACCATCTCTACCTCAGAGGTGTCAAATGACGCTGTTGATTTTTTTCAATAGTTTTAACTGATGCTGTTTCAGTTTATTGTTTGAAATGATGATCAATTTCTAGAAATGATACTTTGTCTCCATGCCAGCAACCAAAAAAGACTGAGATAACTCTACATGGATACTGTAATAGATACTGCAAATGACTTGAATGCGCTTTCCTCAGAGGAGCGCTTAAAATTTTTATAAGGTTTTAACTTATTCTATAGTATTGCATTAGACAGTAGTTGTAGTAAATCAATTCATTCCAAGAAAAGATGAATCCCCTGCTCATTTGAAAAATGCTAAAGAAATTATATCCTCAGCTGCATGGGTTTTCAGTTTGCTTTTATTACTAACAGCAGCTGAAAACACGACAATATGCAATAAAGACAAACGGACTAATTAAAGGAACAATGAATAAATTATACCTCACTACTTGCTACTTATGTTCTCTGCAGATTACTTACTGATTCAAAGCAAAATTAACCAGTCATCTGCAAATAAACACATCTGTATCATTTTCAAAGATATGCTGAAGCATGCAACTCAGTACATCATTAATAACCACTGTCGTCTTAGTAACAACTTCTGACAACATGAGGTTTCTGACTGGGTAGTAATTGAATAACACTTTTATGCTGGTTACTTTTTGAAAGCAGGAGGTGGGAAGGGGAATGTTTTGTATATTAATCTTGGCAGGTTCCCGGCATGTAGCAATGACTGCCAATAAAGGCACTTCTGATGCCTTATTTGCCTTAAAGAAACAATACAAATAGGGTCTGATCCACAGGGGACAGCTTTGGTGAGCTCAGATAATTCAGGACTGGTCTGTCTTTTGAAACTGCGCTGTATCTTCACTGTTATCATCAAATCAAGCAAGTGCCTACTGGGGGAAGATGGTACAGGCGAATGAGATTGCACACTAATTGTAACAGCTGTCCTGCACTTTCCCTTCAAGCACCATAAATTGAAGTGACATTTTTTGACTGAGAGGATAGCTGGTTTTGTTCACACAGTTAAAACCCGTATTGGAAATAAGGTCAGTTTTGGGCTGGAGCCTCAGCATATCCTTTTTTTCAGTCTATGATTCATTTTGTTTTCAAGACACAAAACCCCACGTGCTTGGGAGTTGCTTTCATTTCACCCGCTGGCAGGCTGGTTTAGCAGATTTTCGACTGGTCTTTTCAAAATGAACGAGATCACACCAGATCCTCACATTGACTCCTCATATTGCTATGGGCATGAGGTAGCTTCCATGCTAAAATGGGAGTGAGCTGAGCAACTGAATGAGCCAAAACCCCTCTGGCATGAGGTCAAACATGCACCAAATTCTCTAGACATATTTCTTGACTGTCCAGAGAGGAGTGCTCACACCATATAAAATACAGGGAGACCATTACTTCAAAGAAGTAAAGAGCTAGCCTAGCACAGCTGATGTTCAGGTGTGCACTGAAGTCCTTGAGGACAGTAAGTCACAAAGCTTCAGTCAGGGTGTCAATACCCAGGCAGTGCACTCTGATGTGAAATCCCATGTTGAAACTGCTGGCCCATTTAGAAGGCTGCGGGTCATTCTGCACTCTTCCAGGGCTGACAGCAACTAACAGATATTGAGGCAAACTCATCTTAGTCGTCAGTCTACTCTTGCACTTCTGATGGATATGGGCTTGAGCTGAGGAAGACTTTCGCACCCATACCCTCACTACTAGACTGAGTAGTTACTGAATGATCATAAACAACAGGGCTTGCAGCAGCCCCAGACCCAGGCTACTAGAAGAGTTGACAGTACCCAAACAAAAATATCATGAGTAGTCCAAATCCCTTTTCTGTGTACTCTCTACTATATAATTTAGGGCACATTGGACATCTTAGTGCAGTTTCTACAAGGTGGCATCATTATTACCATATATCACATCTGTTTTTCACTTTCTTTTCTGTTCTTTCACTGTCTTAAATCTAGAGACTCCAAACTTTTCCCCTCCATGCATCTTTTTGCCACCAACTTTTCTTTCTATTGCTTGCTTCTATCTGGCTTACCTGAATAGATAATGTGCTCATGCATCCTTCCCAACCCATTGATGCAAATAAATCACTACTTTCAATGAACCAACTTTCTGACCATATCCTAACCCCTCCACGTTTTCATACTTGCTCCCCAGACATCAAGTAATGCTCTCAGACTATGTGCATACATGGACAGGTACCAGTTTTCATCCTTTCTCTTGTATTTGTCTTTTGGCCCTCCTAGTATGCCAACGTTACACCTTTGTTTTACCTTTTAATATTCAATTGGCTGTCCTGCAGGTTTCCTCTTTTTCCTCTGTTATTTACCTGTGTAGTTTTCCCAACAAGCTCCAGCTGCTTCCTATACAACCAATTCCTGTTCTTTACGAAAAATGGGGCAGGACCTTACAGGCTATTCTGTAAAGGAAGAAAACGTTTCTTCCTTCTCTGCCCCTCCCTCAGGCAAAGCACTCCTGAAGATTCAGTTACTGGAGGCTGAAACTTCAAAAAAGCCACTCAAAGTTCACAAGTCACTTGGTATTTAGGCCTTTAGCCTCAAACTCACACCATTACCTTCTTCTGACCAAAACGGCAGCATATTAAGGAACAGGGCAAATAACATGTATCTTCTGATTACTTTTTCAATTTTTAAAATTTTATTTACATTACTAGTCCTCTATCCCAATTTTATACTCCTCACCCTTTGCTTTAAAAGCTATTTTTAGTTGACGTTCTTACATTTCATGTGCTCCAGCCATCTGCTACCTTACCAAACCATGCCTCTAGTGTACAACTCACACATACAACAGTGTTAGGAGATCATAGAAAAATGATCAGAACAGGAAGGCATTTGAAAGACTGAATTATCCACCTCTCCCCTCAAAACTGAACTAAGCAGGCCTATGTTACCCCAACTGATCGGCTGAACTGAATCTTCAACACCTTCACTAGCAGAGACTGCATGACCTCCCTGTGCAATCGATTTCAGTGTCTCACCATGCCTGCACTTACTTTGTTTATCCTGTCTCCTTTACTGCAATTTAAGCCTGCTATTTCCTCTCCCATCCATCATAGACACAGTGAACAGGTTATTTCTTGCTACAGAAACCTGTGTTTTTGAAAATGGCTCTTCACATCTCCCTTCAGAGTCTGAAGAGCTCTGAATTTTTCAGTTGCCCATCACACACATATCACTCTGATATGTCTTGCCATCCCCGTCTGCCCAGCTGCTCCCTGCTCTGCCTCTGACGCTCAGAACTGGGCACCCCATTCCAGTTGAGGCCTTGCAAATGCATTGCAAAGGGGCTTGCTTCCCATGTCCTATGGGATCTACTGTTTATACATAAAAGAGAGAGGATGAAGTTTCATTTTTGCAGCCAAGGACTGCGACATATAAAAGCAGTGAGTGTTCCTACATAAAGGAGGATTAGGGTCACTAAAACCAAACCTATGTTGCTTTTTTTTCCTGCACCATGTAACCAAGACCTTTTTGCTGGCCAGAACTGGCTTCCTAAACTGTGAGAAGTATAACTAAACCTGACAGCGCTGTTACACTTCCATGCTCTGCCCTGACACCACCAGATGACAGGAGAGCTGGCCCATTTCCTTCCTTTAGGGAAGGCCTGGGGAGCTGTGCTGCAGATTTCTCTCCCTGCTGCCAGGGATGATCAGCAGTCCCCATCCATTCCTAGGGACACCTCAGAAAGCAGAGCACGCAGCCAGCAGCCTCCTCCCAGACAGACAAACCAACCTTGGAAGGAAAGAGAAAATGGCAATGGGGAAATATGTATTCAGAAATGGTGACGGGAGTGGGGAGAATTTCTCCTGTAGGAGATGAAAGTATATGCAGCAGCTTCCTGCATTACAAGATGCTGAACTAAGTTTTGAAGCAGGAGTAATCTGGAATTCTCCACAAGAAGAACAGAGCCTGCAGCAAAGCATGTTCTAATAAAATACCAAGAAACAAATCTTGACTCAACAAAGCCCTTGTCCTCACAGATTTTACCTTATCTACATAAAGATCATTAAAAAAATACTGCCTTGCAAAACTGTCATGCAAAATATGCCCACTGGGGAACTAAACTTGCTTTTCTTCATTTACAAATGGTTTTAATTAATGATAACGATAGCTAATGATATTTAATCACCTGTCAAAAAAATTCATTGTCCCAGATGTCCTTGTAGATGATAAAAACTCTGAAAAGCAGACACAAAATTGTCTAAGACAGATGAAATCCTCCCCCAAGTCAGTGCTGCCTTCCCCTTTCAGTCACAGGCA